CGTTGGGTATATACTATCAAAGTTGGCCCTGATGGACAAGTTGATCGTCTTAAGGCCCGTTTGGTTGCTAAAGGCTACACACAAATTTATGGCTTAGGTTATGGTGATACAATCTCTCATGTGGCCAAGATTGCTTCCGTACATTTATTCCTCTCTCTTGCTGCCATGAATCACTAGGCTCTTTATCAATTGGATATTAAAAACGCCTTCTTTCATGGTGAATTAATGAATGAGGTTTACATGGAGCAACGCTTGGCTTTGTTGCTCAGGGGGAATTTGGTTTGGTTTGTTGACTTCAACACTCATTTCATGGCTTGAAACAATCTCCAAGATCCTAATTAGTAACTTTTGTATAGTTATTCAAGAGTTTGGCATGATTCAAAGTGAAGCTAATCATTCGGTTTTCTACCGTGGTGGACCACACAGCAAATGTATCTTTCTTATTATTTATGTTGATGATAATGTCATCACTATGAATGATTAGGAGGGTATTCAACAGCTCAAACAACACTTTTTGGCTCACTTTCAAACCAAAGATTTGGGCCAACTTAAATATTTTTTTGGGATAGAGGTGGCTCAATCCAATTCAGGTGTTGTAATCTCCCAATGTAAATATGCTTTGGTATATACTTGAAGAAATGGTATATTGGACTATAGACCCATTGATACACCTACGATCTAAATGTCAAACTCCTTCCAAGACAAGGGAGCCTCTCACAAATCTTGGAAGATATCAGAAATTAGTGGGGAAACTTAATTACTTAACTATTACTTGACCAGATATTTCATTTGTTGTAAGTGTGGTATCAATTCCTACAATCTTCATGTGACAGCCATTGGGATACTGTGATTCACATTCTTAGATACATTAAAAGAACACCAAGTCAAGAATTATTGTATGGAGATAAAGGATATACTCAGGTGATTGGATATTTTAATGCAGATTGGGCTGGTTCCCCTTCAGATGGACGTTCGGCTTTCAGGATACTGTGTTTTGATTGTAGGTAATTTGATATCCTAGAAAAGTAAGAAACAAGATGTTGTTGTTAGGTCAAGTGCTGAAGCTGAATGTCATGTTATGGCTTTGGCAACTTATGAACTAATTTGGTTGAAATCAGTTACTTCAAGAATTGAAGTTTGGAGAGGTTAGACAAATGAAGTTAATCTGTGATAACCAAGCTACCTTACATATTGTCTCCAACCCTGTGTTCAATGAGAGAACCAAACACATAAAAGTTGATTGCCATTTTATTAGAGAGAAGATTTTGTCTGGATGCATTTCCACTATCTTTGTCAACTCCCCTAATCAGCTAGTAGATAACTTTACCAAATCTCTCAGAGGTCCTCGGATAACATCTCTTTGTAACAAGCATGGAGCATATAACTTATATACTCCAGCTTGAGAGGGAGTGTTGGAATGGTTAGTCTTATGTTAGAATAGGTTTTATTGTAAAACAGTTAGTCTTTAATCCCACATCAAATAATGCGGTCATTAGTATTTTATTATGAAGTGTATATATACATGTACCATTAATATGATTAATACATAGTTCTTTTTCTCCTTCCTACGTTAACAAACATGTTACAAACAAAGGATTTCTGTTCCCAAGAGAATGAAAGAGGCTTGGTTTCAAAACATGTATCCTTGTTTATCCACTATTACATAAAAGTGGTCGAATGTGTTTTTATGTGCTATCCTACTTTATGCTTTGTGCCCGAAACTGTTAATTTCTATCGTTTTGTGAAGAGACTTGCATCCAATCCACGCTAACAAAAACTAAAAGAGGTAAGAATAGATACTGAAAAGATGGTTCTCTATCTACTTATAAAAAGAACTGATCCTCCTCTTTATAGAGAATTATCTGTTGATTGTGTACAAGAAGGCTAATTATTAAGTAGCATTTTAGAACTCTGATTATTTTAGGGTTTATTGTTTTAATTGTTTTTAATATCCATATCTTGCACACATTTCTCTTGTACCAAGTTAGGTAATTTTAATGGGCTCCACCATTAAGTCTTTTAATGATAATTTGAGCATAAATTTAATTGTTTTAGTAATATATAATAGTAGAATTGACATGATCAGACATAACATTGAATAAATAAGTTATGATGTTTGGTTCATAAAAGCCCTATTTTATTGTTTGAGGACTTCTGCAAAAGTCCAATACGTTGTAACCTTTAATATTTTGGCAGATGATAGCTTTTGCCTTAAAAAAATTAAATGGTGAAAGCTCAAAAATTAATTGTATATGGTTTATAAAGGGTCATAAAGATACTCTTTCCTTGTTTGCCAAAAAACCTTAAACCAAATATCCAGTATTCAAAAGTAGCTGGTAACTATTGTAAGTGCCCAAGTGGTATTCTAAGCTAACTTAAAGTACCTTGTATGATGGTATATGGGTAAGAATTCTGAAGCAAGGGGGCACATTGTCCTCCATCCAATCCCATTTCCCCTCCATCTCTGCATTGGATAAAAAGGAATCCATTGAAATTTAACACAATTATCCTGCGGTACTCAATTACATATATTTTTATTTTCAAATGGAGCCTCATGTTCTTCTTTAATTTAAATTTCCGATGTGATGATTGGTCCTTTGCTGCAACATGTTCTTTGTAAACTCTAGATATGCACCTTTATGTTGACTACATTGTTGGTATCTGGAAGGCCTTCATGCCTCTTTCTTCATGGGACCTATATCAACATAAACTTTTACATGTTAACAAGTATTATCATTGAAAGTAATAACAAATCCCAGATAGCCAGATAATGTAATAATTTATAATTTGATAGCATTAATTAATTTGAAGGACACGAGTGTAAACAGTATATTCAACATCCATTTTAATAGCTTCATTATAGTTGTTTTTAGCAGTAAGGATAGAGCAAAAAAGCCTGGTATACTCACAATGTAAATGCATACATATTAATTACAAAAATAAAATATATTTTGTAGTTTAATAAGTAAATGATATATTTCAAAGTATGTCATTAGATGTATTACAGGCTGAGATTGGTATAATGCTAAATCAAGGTAAACAAGAGAACCAAATTTATTACACTTGCCACTTTAGTGGTAATGGAAACAGTTTCACACTAAACGCAGAAATGAGAAGAAAGATTTTACAGATATAATGATATCTTTGTTATTACTTATTAACGTCAAGGGTGAATGTATGCAGAAAATGGCAAGTTGAGAAAATAGATGCCGTGATTAAGTGTAAGTCAAAGTTTATTTGTTACTAAAAGCTTGAGTGAGGCTACTATGGTGATAAGTCTGAATAGAAATAAGGCAAATGAGAGCATGTTTACTTCTAGGAGTTTCAGAGGGCAGAGCTCAGTACTTTTTCCGCCACTTGAATGATTGTCGTTTTAATATATCTTTTTGCTGCACATTTTTAGCGACTTTATTATGGCTATTTGTCACAGTAAAAGCAAAAGAAACGCAGTTACTGAGAAGGAAGTTATTGTGTAATGATTGTGGAAAAAATTTTGGAATTTGTTACTAATTACTAAATGATATTGAGTGCGAACATTAAAAAGCACCATAAGACGTAAAAAAAGGTAAGATTTGAATGGTGTTACAGTTCAAGAAAATATGAATATGATATTAATTATTGGGTTGAGACCAGTATTATGGAAAAGGTCTATATCGAGGGTAGAAATCAGAAGAAAGACTAGATATATGATGATATCATCTTTGATACTAATAGCATCAAGGTAAACACCAAAAAAGTATTAAATGTCATGCAGGCAATGCAAATTTATAATATTAAAGTTATGGAAAAGCATGGAAATAAATATTAAGTGGAGCATAATAGCAGAAAAGGAAATGTTTACCGTAGGCTTGAAAAGTGCAACGTGGCAGTAAATTTTTGAAAAAGAAACAGGACAAATTTGGAGCGTCTTACTTCTAGGAGGTTCGAATGACAGAGGTTGCCACACTGTCTTGCATGACTGTCCATTTATTTATTTATTTTTTCTGCAACATAGGTTGTAACGGAAGTTGGCTGCATCTGATGAGATAGTTCAGAAGGATATTATATCTCTCCTTAATTGCAAGTTTATAGAAGCATATTGTCACCAATCCTTGCAGATGAAAAGTTTATTGCTCTCTAGTTCTAATATTGCTGAGTAGGTGGTGTTGTTTCTCACATTATAATTTTTCTTGAGAATTGGATTTTGATGCTATATATTCAATTTTCCTAAATTCTTCTCCGCTTCTGCTTCCGCACTTCTGATCTTGTTTCCAAAAGAATGGACCTTTCCCTTGTAGGTCTTAATTTTTCCAGGTTAAAAGTTTGGTTTTAATTTTGTCATTTTTGCTTCCAATGGTTGGATTAATTTTTTAAGTTTCAGAAATTTCTGAACATTAATCTTGAGGTTGAAAACTTCTTAGATCCCCCTCCTCATGTATGCACATGCATTTGAGTAAGTGTGGGTGTGCATGTGTGCTTATGTTTGTGTCAGTAATTTGTTTGTTCAGTAGTGAAAAACATTAAATTTTGTATTGGCTTTCACGCATTATAGAATTTACTCTAGGATATTGTCTAATTTTAAGGATAGTTTCCTATTCCCATTTCTTTGTCATAAAATTTATGTTTTATTAACCTCTTGTAAATAGGTGTTGAGATTAGGGCTGAAGCCATATTGTTCATTGGATTTGTGATAATTCATTTTCCTATGTTTGTAAAATTTCATGAGTGGCTGTCACTTTTATGATGCAATTTTCTTTTCAACACTACTTATGCTACACTGACCTTTAATGGCTTGTATTTGGTGGTATGCTTCGTGACATCTCCTAAAATTGAGTGGTGACATAGTTTTCATGGAATTCTGTAAAATTTTTATGTGACATGATATTTTGCTCAATTTTCTCACACTTTATATGTCTATGCAGTGCCAAGTTTACCCTTGCCACTAGTTGTATAGAATACTCCAATAATGGTTGCTCTTGATTTCCATTATTTCTGAATATCGTTGCTCTCTTTACTTGTAGTTTGCTGGTGCTGCACAGTCTCTGGGTGCTGGTGCTATTCTTGTGAACCCCTGGAACATAACTGAAGTTGCTGCTTCAATTGGCCAAGCGTTGAATATGACTTGTGAAGAAAGAGAGAAGCGGCACAGGCATAACTTTGTGCACGTGACAACCCACACTGCTCAACAATGGGCTGAAACTTTTGTGAGGTACATAGTAGGGTTAGTATTATTATATGCATTGAATGAGGAAATAAATTGCATATCATACTTTCTTATTTGTGATACTGCAAGGATGGTTCTATTCTTTCTTCTATGCCTAAGTAAATTTTTTTTAGTAAGTGCAAGTGCATAACATACAACCATGAACAAGCAGTTAGAAGGCTGGTTTATTTGGTGAATGGTTAACTTTCCTTCAACATTTTAATTGTTTCAAGTTGGCACAAATGACACTGATATATGTATTTTCCTTTGTGTTGTGTATTTCAAGTCTATTGGGCAATTCTGTACTTTGCAAAAGTCCAAAACATTGGCATAGTGGCATTTCTTCTATCCTTTATCAAACCTGAGAATGTTTCTCATCTGAACAGAGTTCTAGAATCTGAATTCCTGTTGTAACTTTGTCATTCCAGAGAGGAAATGAGAAGCTATATATGAGTTCCCTTTCTCATATCCTCCACAACCAAATAGTCCTGCGACCCTTCTTGAAATGCATTTGCTATATGAATTTTCATATACCGAGAGCATTCTATTTTTAGTTTGTAGGTGGTATTTTACCTTAAAGAAACATGTTACAAATTAAAATCTAATTGTGCTCATTGATAGTGTTCAATGAATAACTTGAGGGTGGCAGGTTAGAGTTGTTGAAACAACCTTTTTGGACACATAAAGTTGCATATGTCTGACCCTTAAAAGACTTCACCTGTCAGGAGTGATTTGCAATAGTATAATTATGATGATTAGATGAATTCAAAATTTGGCCATATTACTCACGCTAGAATGTGATGGTTGTCAAAATTGTCTCAAAAAGACAGCTTCGTTGAGGTAGATACTTTTTAAAAAAAATTTAACTAAAAAAAGCCCACATATTTAAGACTTGGGTTAGATAATCCTTAGTTTGAGTTCTGCTCCCCTTGCTGAACCAAGTTATGTGGTTTATGGGTGGTTATGTGCAACTGGGCGTATCATGATTGACTAAAAATGAGTTGGAGACAATAGCAAATTGAATTAAAAAAAAAAAGAAAAAACTACAGAAAGTTTGTGATAAATAGATTTTATGCCTTTTCAGCTTCAAATAATTCGCCTTTGAAGGTTTCTTGTCACCTATTTTGTTGTTCTTTGCAGTGAACTGAATGATACTGTTATTGAAGCTCAGCAAAGGATAAGACAGGTTCCACCTCCACTTCCTATTGGTGATGCAATCAAACACTACTTGCAATCCAATAATCGATTGCTTATACTGGTAAGATTTTTTGCATATTTAGGTTTCATTAACTAAGGTTTCAATTGACTTGCAATTAAGAACAGCAGCTAGCAGTGAATGATTGCTTGCATTGCATTTGGGTGCAATAACATAAGATCAGATTAAGCTCAGGATATAATGGATTCATGACTAGCCTATAGAATTGCTAATGCATGGGATTGGCAATTTACTTTTTCTCAAGTGATATGATAAGTATTTCAAGAATGTGAAACATATCAAAATATAACCTAACTTATCATCTGTTAGGAATTATATTCCAATTCCTTTGTTTTTTTCAATTGGAGGAACTAATGAGGAGCTGACCTCTTCTCTAGTTTTGTGATTGCAAGTTATCGCTGATGAATGTATGCCGCAATGTTTTCTTAGAGCTTGAAATGCAGTAAGCACTTTAACTTCTCATCATTTCATGGAGCATGGGTTCCTAAAATTTTGTTTTTGTTGGCTACCTGTTTTCAGGGTTTCAATGCTACTTTAACTGAATCAGTGAATAACCCAGGAAGAAGAGGAGGAGATCAAATTAAAGAAATGGACCTGAAATTGCATCCGGAGCTCAAAGAACCTCTAGCAGCACTCTGTAGTGATCCAAAGACAACTATTGTTGTTCTCAGTGGAAGTGGCAGACATGTCTTAGATGATGTATTTCATCTACTTCCGTTTATCTTGTACTCTTATGTCCTTCAGTTATTATTTTAAATAATGAAGTGAGGACTTATACAGAATTTTGGCAAGTACAACATGTGGCTGGCAGCAGAAAATGGAATGTTTCTTCGCTTTACAAAAGGAGAATGGATGACAACAATGCCAGAACATTTGAATTTGGAATGGGTTGAGAGTGTTAGAGTAAGTTTTGTTCATTTCCTTTCCATCTTCCAGCTTCCAAATTCCTGATATGTTTCACACATTTTCAGCATGTTTTTGAGTACTTCACGGATAGAACCCCTAGATCGCATTTTGATCCCCGTGAAACTTTACTTGTATGGAACTACAAGTATTCAGGTATTTCATTTATTTATTATGTTGGTTCCACTCCCTCTCCATTAGTATTGCGTTTGGACAATTCATTATCATTGTTTTTTGTCACCATACCATTATTTTTTAGATGTTGAATTTGGACGACTGCAAGCCAGGGATATGCTACAACATCTTTGGACTGGTCCAATTTCTAATGCATCTGTTGATGTTGTCCAAGGTAGTCGCTCAGTTGAGGTGCGAGCAGTTGGTGTTACAAAGGTGATTGGATTTCATTATACTGCAAAAATATTTAAATTGTATGAATTGATCTATTAGCACAATGCATTTGTTAAATAAATTGTTATTTGTGCTTCATATCAGGGTGCAGCTATTGATCGTATATTGGGAGAGATAGTTCACAGTAAATCTATTTGCACCCCAATTGATTTTGTCCTATGCATTGGGCATTTTTTAGGCAAGGTACTAATTTTTCACCCCCCATGCACTTCTCTCAACTTGAACTGTATAATATTCTTGTACAACGTGACGTTTTTTTTGTCACATGTCAGTCATCTTTTCCTGGATCTTGAAACTGAGGGAAAGTTATCCTAATCTATTATCTAATCACGTTTTTCTAGAGTTTTTTTGTATGACATGCGATTTGGATAGATGAAAGTTAATTCCTGGGTATTTATATTTTACATTTACTTCTTATTAGTAGTAGGAAGCATTCTATAATGATGCTGGATAATTGCCACTACATCTCTGAGCTCAATGTTCATGTTCATTATGATGATCTCTACAATAGTGCATATTTTTTCAGGATATTAAGTGTAATCCTCACTTGGAACTGTTCATATTATATAATGTATATATGTATGAGTTTACTGAATGTGAGAGTTGAACAAGTGCCAGCTTCTAGGCAGTAAACAGATTCCTTGAATTTCTTCATCTCTCTGAAAATGGTGTGAATTTCCTCGTTCCCCCAGAAACTATATCATAGAATTCAGGGAATTAGGAAATTTAGAATCGCACATATAGTTAGATTTGTTTTTGGGTTAGAGTATGGAAAGGACGTAATCTTTGCTTCTTAAAATACAAAAACTGGAGTTTCAATGGGGTAAATGGATGGGCTTGTTTGGACTTTGGAATTTCACCAACAGTAGGGGATTGTCAGGAGCTTGACCAGTACGCTGAAAGACCCACATCTGACAGAACAATATATGAATTCACATACTTTGTCCTGTCTTTGAATAGTTTTCATTTATGCCTAATGCAATGGTTTGGCCCAGCAGGACCATTAAGAAATTATACTTCTTTGGCTGTCATCTTACAAAGACCAAATTTACTTGGATAGAGATATGATGGATTGTAATTTAACTTAAACCTTGACACACTCATATAGCCAACCCCGTGCAATTGATGCCTAATTAGGAACTTGACCAATATGACAAAAGATCCCAGTTTAGTGGAGAACTTGCGAAATCAGTTTCTGGATACCCACTGTATAGGCCAACCCATGTTCCCAGACATAACTGGGACTATATCTACTAAATAATGATTGGAGCATGTTAATGCATCTGCAGAGAATTAGGCATTGGATGATCTGGACAGCTTGTAATCCGTACTTAAAATATAGGGAAACCGTTATGTGAATGAAACTTTTGACAGACAAAGATTTCAATACTAACCCAAGAATATAACTTGATATATAAAAAGATCTTCAGATATCCATTCTACATTCCATGTCTGCTGGCTTTTATCATTTTGATAACCATGTAGCTAGCATTTCATCTCCAAAAGTGTACATCTGGCTGCATATTAGTTGAAGTGAAGAAGACTTAAAAAATGATTAACCGAGATTTTATTTATGCAATCCTGAAGTGCTTTGTTGCTTTTGAGACTGGCTTCCTCCATTTTATGCTTGCCTCGTCTCCTTTTGTTTACAAATTTGCATATGCCAGCAGTAAGTCTATATTATTGTAACCTTTTCTGTGCTCTGTTTTCACGGTTGGTTGAACTAGAACCTACTCGCTATCATATGGGCTGAATAAGCAACATTTTCAATTGATATATGAAAGAACAGAGATTTCTTAGACCATAATTTTGTGTTCTTGCTGGTCCTGGGTATGATTATGAGAAACAAGAATGAAGTCTCCTGTCTCTCTGAGAATTGCTGCCTTTTGCTTCAGGATGAGGATCTGTTCTCATTTTTTGAGCCAGAGCTTCCCTCAGATCCAACTGGTGCTCCAAGAAGTAAGGTAGCCGATGCACTAGAGGTACCTGATGCACTAAAGATTCCTGGGGAGAGAAAACCACCCTCAAAACTTCCAACTAGCAAAAGTGGCTCCAAGTCTTCGCACAATAAAACTCAAAGACCTGTGTCAAATGCAGAGAAGAAAACCAATAATCATGTCAGTGGTAGCGGACGGAAGTCACCACCTGAAAATATGTCATGGCATGTGCTCGATCTCAAAGGGGAAAATTACTTTTCTTGCGCGGTTGGGCGTACTCGTACCAATGCCCGGTATGTCCTTGGATCATCAGAAGAAGTTGTTTTCTTTCTGAAGGAGCTGGCAGGGGCATCTTTCACTGGCTTGCCATAATCAAGTCTACCCAATTTTGGAGTTCAGGAGATATCTTTTGGATTTTAAACGTGGTGGTCTATAGGAACCTTGCTGTTTAAGGACTTGTTATATTAAGCAAACTGAAACCATCTAAACCTCAGTATCATTCTAAGTCTGGATTTTGAGCATTTGATGAAAATTTTATAATGCTAATGCTTTGCATTTATATCCTTTTCTGCTGTTCTCCGTGGAGTAGAATTATGTAGCATTACACATTTTCTTTTACATGATTGCACTTTTTTCTTTTTTTCTTTTTTTTTTTAATTCTGTTGGATACAATGTACAGTGATATAGAGGCTTTATCCATAGGGTATTAGTGAGGCGAGGCCCCAATGACTCGGTGGTTTGCCACAAAGATCATGAGAAAGATCTTTTTATCCAATGTGAATGGCATAATATAACAAACTTTAAGTTGCATGTAACAAAGTTTAAAATTCTGATACAAATAGATAAAAAAATAAATTAAAATTAAAATATTAAATATGCTCCAAAATCTCATTGCCACACTGCATGAACAAACGAAACTCAGAGATTATATACCCTTCTTCACTCAGCATACATTTGAAGTTACGTTTGCAGATTTCTTTTGGCATAACTGAGTTTACAATCTCGGTCAAACTGACCTCTTTACCTCGACTATAGCACTCATCATTCCTCTGCACACACTTTCTATATCTTTGCGGCTTTTCTCCTTTGATATTGATATCCCCTTCCTGACTCTGAGTGCTTGCATTGTTGCTTCTCTGATCTTTCTTCTTCTTAAGTGTCTCTTCTGTATCTGGACGTAGTTTATCTTACAAACTTCAGCAATCCTTTTTATAGAGTTCCATAGTTGGCCAACCTCTCTTACAAATCGGACAAAGAAGGTTGAACTGGCTAATGTTGTAGCATTGCCCTGATGATTCCCGTGTACTCTACTTTCAAACCATCAATCATGATTTTTCTTCTTCGATCTTTATTAATTTTGTGTGAACTGTTAGAATTTTCTAATATTTGGATTTTTATTAATTAATTTTGTATTTTATAAAAACGGATTGAATGCACAGTTAAGGTTTAAAAAATCGAACCGTTCGTTGAACCGGAAAATTTACCGGTTCACGGTTCACCGATTGGACCGTTAATTGAACTGTGATGTCATAATTATGTAATACACACACACACACACACACACAAAATAAAAATAATACACCATCAATCTATTATTCAAAATAAATATAAAAAGTCTAAATTATAATTGTTAAGTTCACACTATTTTAAATTTAAAAAAATTCATAAATCACAACTTTCTTACATAATTACAATTTTTCAAAAAAAGAAAAAATAATAACATCAAATAATTAGAAAATAAAAATGTAACAGAAATTTAAACAGTTTTTTAGATTAAAAATAGTTAAATTATTCACATTTCATTCTTAAAATGAAGTGACCCAAATTTAATTAACTTAGATAATATATTAAAATAATTTTATATTATATTAAATTTTTAAATATAAAATTTTGTTAAAAAATGTTAATCATTCTTTATGATATGATATTAATTATCCATATATATTTTAGTAAACATAAAATTTTCAACAACCAACTTGTGGTTTAGTGGTAGAGAACCACATTTCTACCTTGTTGACACATGTTCAAATCCCAGCGGCTACAATATTTCACATTTTAGAGGCATTATTTAGATCGTCTGGTTCAACTGAACCGTGAACTGTTCAAATGGTTGGATCAGTGGTTTGAACGGTTTTCATAAAATAATTTGGTTTTCTTAATTATACTAGTTTTTAACTAAAACCAAATCGGTAACATGACCAGTCAACAATTAGACCAGTTCAACCGCCCGGTCTGGTCCAGTTTTCTAAACCATGTGCATGGTCTAGTATCTCTGAAACCTATTTAGAATTAAGTGATCTAATGTGTTGAGAGTCACCTTGGTTTGGGCTTGAACCCAAATGATAAGTGTGTTAGACCTAAGTGACCTAGGGTTTTGTGATAAACAAAACCTAGATCATTCCTTTAAAATACAGCACAATTCCCAATCCACTCTGGATCAACTTCCAACTGTCCATTGTTTCATCAAGGTACCAATTGGGAGAAATTAAGTTAATTTGGAAGATCGTGCTCCTGTGGGCATTACACATTCTTCATCTTCACTTAGTTATTCAATAACAATGACCCTATAAGGTACACCTTCTCATTTTATGTGCTATTAGATATTCTTAATCCTAGTATAAAGGATTTCATAAATCTTAATTGTGATATTAGAGCTAGTTCACACCAGATTTAAAATCCTAAATTTGATCAATTTGTATATGATATGTATTGTTGGTTGCTGGTTATTGGTGAGAAAATCCTACCATATTCAAAAAGTATCAAGGCTTTATAATAAAAATATATTATTAGAATAACTGTAGCACAAGGTTCAGCAACTGGACATGGCCAAATCCCCTATTCTAGGTGATCAATGAAGGTTTTGCCCTCTAAGATTTCGGCATGAGCAAGCAGCCAAGCAATGTTGATCTGCTCTATGTGTTGAAATATATATGTACATATATGGATTTACAATGTTTAAATTAGAAGGATTTTTGCTCTAATTGATTAATTTTCTTATTAATGGAATCTTTTTTTTTCTATTTTGTAAACTTATCTGCATAAATTCATACACACACTAGGTTGCATTCAAAATCTGAGATAAAATAATCACTTATATCTATGTTTAAACTATATAGATATCTATTTCATGTAAATTTGTATATTTGATTGAATATTTTTTGCCCATAACCAATGGTTTATTATTGCGGATTCAACTATACATGTGTATGTGTATATATATTGATGTGTGTATACTTGAATCACTTGATTTTACACTAGCTAATTTACTTTCTGCTTCGTGATAATATGTGTATTGTGTATTTAATTGAATTAATGTTACTTTGCAATAGTCGATTTTATGAGTTTGGTTGGATTGAGTTTTAGTGAAATCTTGGAAGCTCTGCTGATTTGTTCCTCTAGGGGGATTGACGGACGATCAGTTGTAGGTGGTAGAGTTATGATGGTCGTCTGAGCAAGTTGACCTCGATTGATGGACGGGAGGCTTAGTTGCTAGTTTGTCAGAGGCTAGGAAAAGGGAGCACTGCTAGGGTTTTCCAAGGAAGAAGAGGAGAAAGAAGAAGAAGAAGAAGAAGAAGAAGAAAGGAAAAAAAAATCAGGCGGGTCGATTCTAGGTTGTTTCAGACCTAGATCGAGAATAGACCCGAGACTCACCTTGACCCCCCAACTTGCTTTGATCATCTAGTTAGGGTTTGACTCAAATCCATGGATCAAATTGACCTTTTTTTTAGATAATAAAATAAAAGTATATCTTAAAAAGTAATTAATTAAATTAAAAAAAGGAAGGTTGCTTTTATTTATTTATTTATTAAAAACCCTTATTAGTTAATGATTTGCCTTGATTTGTGTAACTTGATATGCATATTATTGTCTTGACTTGCGTGCTAATGACCTAGTATGCTTACTATTGCCTTGATTTACATGCTAATGACTTTGTATGCATATTATTGCCTTGATTTTTGTGCTAATATCTTGGTTTGCACATTATTACCTCAAAAATGTAGTAAAGTCAATATTTGTTTTTTTAAGAAAAAACGCTCTTAAATTTTTATGGTATGTTTGGAAAAATTGTGAGTTGATGAGAGAATATTAATTTGGGCAATTGTTTATCCTGGTCTTGAAACTCTATTAAGCAATGTATATCACCACAATATTTCATTTACAAAATTGATAAAGTTACTTGTTAACTAACTGGGATGTTATGTCATTTAAATTGATTTACGTTTTGATACAGCCACAAGTGATCAGTGCATTAATTAATTTAAATTGACATGTGTTTTTTAGATGTTTCTGACAATAATAATCTTTTTGTACACAAGTGTTGGTTTTTCTTTGTAACTGTTATTTGTATAATATATCCTCCACCCATAAAAGAACTTATATTATATATTTTACATCTCTATACATTGATTATTATTATTATTGAGTGCCCATATTACTAATAATTTTCTTGTTGTTTTTCAGTACCAATGACCTTTTCCCATATTGAGATTCTGAAAGACAACAACTATAAGACATAGAAACAAGATATTGAGTTGACTCTTACCAGAATGGACCTTGAATGAGCCATTAAAGACAACAAGCCTATTTTGACTTCTAAGAGTACTGAAGAACATAAGGCATGCTATGAGGAATGGGAAATGATCAATTCGCAAGGGCTTAATATTCATTAAGAGATTCATTGACAAAACAGTTGGAAAAAGCAATTTCAAATCCACAAATGTCAAAACTTCCTTTGAGTCCATTGAGAAGAAGTATGAAGTATCTAGTAAAAGATGAATTAGGTCAATTAATGGAAAGCATTATTCATATGAGATATGATGGAATTGGTGGTGTTCGACAATATATCCTAAAATTGCTAACCATGGCCAATATACTCAAGGATCTCAATTGCCCTTTATCATATGCCTTCCTTGCTCATCATGCCATGAGTTCCTTACCTTTTAAATTTGATACCCCTAAAACTATCTATACCATCCAAAAGGAGATATGGGATTTGGAAACCTTGATTTCTATTTGTGCTCAAGAGAAAGAGAGGTTAAATTACACAGTATCTGAGAATCTGAATTTGTTTTCTCAGCATAACCGGAAAAAATCTTTTAAGAAAAAGGAAACAAACTATAAGGAAATAAAGGTGTTAACAATCAAAAGTATAATCCGCCTCACAAAACCCATGGTCCAAAACCTAGTTTTCAAAAGAATCAGACAAAGTGTTGGTTCTACAAGACTATAGGACATAAAAAGTTAGACTATCAAGCATTTAAGGCCTACATTGGAAACAAAGATAAAAATAAGTTACTTTTGCTTGCCGTGAATCTAGTTTAGTAGGTGTTCTTTCGAAATCTTAGTGGATTGATTCTGTAACATCTATTCAT